ACTTAAATTTTCCCACTAGAAGGATACCCACAACTTGGACATAGAAGTCTCTCTGAGGAGGGCTCAGCTTAGGGTGACTAGGATTGTTGCCCGTCCTTAAACTTCACTCCCACACCCAGCAGAAAAAGGGAAATGGAAAAGCAGAAGACCCCAATATGTATATAACTTCCAGTTGCTCTTCGGGCCTATGCCCATTGGGTCCCAAATCTGCTGGGCGGGTGATCAGCCTGTCGATCGGCCTCGGTACTCCAGCACTTTGGCCTCTTCAGTCTTCTGAGGGTTTCGGTCACCCTTCGGGTAGCCCCCTCTAAAACGTGAAGGGTACTTCTCAGGGAAGTGGCAAACCCAAAAGCAGTTTAAATCCTGCAGCTGATGCTGCAGGAGATGCTTCCTCAGGGACCTCTTTGCAGGGACCCTACGTTGGGCACCACTTGGCGTGGTGGGCAGTGTCCAGAGTGCCACGGACTTCCCAAAGAAGCGTCTTGAAAGAAAACACCTCAGTGGCACAGGCACAGGTCTGGTTTACGTTTAGGCTTTCTCAGGCGTGTCAATCTCTACATTGCATGGGGAAGCTGAAACCAGGAGGCAGCGTTGGGAATCAGTGGGGAATTCCAATGGGGAAGTGGGAATTCCAGTGGTGAATTGGGAATCAATGGGGAATTCCAATTGGAAATTGGGAATCCATGGAAATTCCAATGGCTGGGCGGGTGGTCAGCCTGTCGATCGGCCTCGGTACTCCAGCACTTCTTTGGCCTCTTCAGTCTTCTGAGGGTTTTGGTCACCCTTCGGGTAGCCCCCTCTAAAACGTGAAGGGTACTTCTCAGGGAAGTGGCAAACCCAAAAGCAGTTTAAATCCTGCAGCTGATGCTGCAGGAGATGCTTCCTCAGGGACCTCTTTGCAGGGACCCTACGTTGGGCACCACTTGGCGTGGTGGGCAGTGTCCAGAGTGCCACGGACTTCCCAAAGAAGCCTCTTGAAAGAAAACACCTCAGTGGCCCAGGCACAGGTCTGGTTTACATTTAGACTTTCTCAGGCGTGTCAATCTCTACATTGCATGGGGAAGCTGAAACCAGGAGGCAGCGTTGCGAATCAATGGGGAATTCCAATGGGGAATTGGAAATCAATGGGGAATTTCAGTGGAGAATAGGGAATTAATGGGGAATTCCAATGGGAATTTGGGCATCAATGGAAAATTGTGCCCAAACAGGCACAGGTCTGGAATTGGGAATCAATGGGGAATTCCAATTGGAAATTGGGAATCCATGGGAATTCCAATGGGGAACTGCGAATCAATGGGGAATTGGGAATCAATGGGGAATTCCAATGGGGAATTGGGAATCAATGGGAATTCCAATGGGAATTGGGAATCAATGGGCAATTCCAGTGGGGAATAGGGAATTAATGGGGACTTCCAATGGGAATTTGGGCATCAATGGAAAATTGTGCCCAAACAGGCACAGGTCTGTGCTCATGCCGAGTGATTTCAGCTTGTTTTCAGTTGTGATCCAGGCAACCCAGAAGGAGAGGCGAGGTCTTCATGTGGGGTTCCAAGGAGAGGTTTATTGAGCTTCTTTTTTGAAGAGATCCAGGGACAAAGAGCCACTCAGGCAGGGAAAGCAGGGGTTTATGTATTGATTTTGAGGGGCAGGTCAGAACACTGGGGTCAATGGGATAAGGGCAGGGGGTGGAGTGAGGGGGAAGAGCCAATGGGATACATTAAATCTGCATGTCACAGCAAGGCATGCTGGGAGAAGCCCTTTTCCTCACCCTAGCAAAGGTTGTCACTTGAGGGGTTTTCCCTCCAGGGGAGTATTGTGAGATCTCTGCCTGTTGGCCCACCAGCCTCCACAGTGAAGCAGCATTTATAACCTTTGGAATGAAGATTATTGCCTCTGGCCATATTTATGCCCAGTCCTGTTATTACTTACATCTTTTTCTCCCTCTTTTTATATTATTCATAGCTGATGATCAAAGGGCATCAGGCTCTGACTTCCATATCCTTCCCTGGATATGTCATCATTCAAACCATCCATTCATTTATTCATTCCAAGGCTGTCATCAGGGGGATGCTGTCAATTGCAATGAATGTCAGAGCAGGCCACAAATGCACTATATATGCATTCCTATGAAAATTAGTGGAACTTGAAGCCATATTCACAACACAGTTCTGTTTGCATATATGCTTTCCATTTCATTAAACAAAGAACCACAAAACATTTGTTTTCCTGAGTATATTCCAACCCTCTCTCCATAACGCTCTCAACTCTCTTAAAAGAGACTATTCTTCCCTGAAATATGTCATGTAATTTAGGAGAGACATTTTAAAAAGGGATCAAGAACTATACCAAGCTTATACCTAGACCTCCACATCAAATGCAAGCAGGCAGTATGAGCACGAGTTTGGCAGACCTTGACCTCAGTGAATCTCATTGTGCTACAATACTACAGCAGAGAGAGACTGGAGAGCACATACACTGCAGTACAACAGGCCAGTCTCAGCGCTAACACAGGATTCACCTAAGCCTTGGCAGATGCTGCAGGAGAGACTCACGATTAAAACACCTACAGAGGTGTCTCTGGGCTCGGATAGTCTGTTGGTACAAGCACATACCCATCAAACTGTACTTCAGTCACTATGTACCAGATAATTTCTGCAGAAAGTAAGCTGATTGCTGTTGGTTTTTTTACTCAGGAGCGTTTATATTGTACCATCACAGTCTTGGAAATTGTGTTTCAGTGTTATTACTTGACAATTACATTGTCTTCCTTTGTTGAACCTTAAGAAAGGCCCTTTACATGATAAGTAACAATGTAAATCATTGCATTGGGATATTAAATATTCTTGCCTATCTTGAGGCCCTGTTTTAACCTTTTCCTAGAAGTTTCATTTCAGATATTATTTTTCCGCTACTATATTTATCTTTTGTAGCACAGTTAAAATCTCCTGTGTACTTTCAAGCTAAGACGACTCAATCACATTTGCAGGCGAATCTCTCGGATCAGATTTGCGCGGGTGTCGGGGTGTCCCTGGCAGTGGGCGTCCCGGGGTGAGCCCGGGGAGCCGCGGCCGGTTTTGGGGAGCCGCGGCCGGGGCCGGGGAGCGCGGCCGGCCGGCGGCGGCCGGCAGGGGGCGGCCCCGGCCCGGAGGCGCCGCTCCTCAGGGCGAGCCGCGGCCGGACGGGGGAGCACGGCCGAGTGCGCGGGGTTTAAAACGTATTTCACACAAAATACGTGAGAATTATAGAACCGCGAAGCCTCGGAATGGTTTGGGCTGGAAGGAAGCTTCAATGGTCACCTCAAGTTTCATCTCACCTATGACCAGGTTGTGCAAAGCCCCATCCATCCTGGTCTCTTAACACTTCCAGGAACGGGGTATCCACAACTTCTCTGGGTAACCTGTGCCAGGGCCTCAACACTCTCACAGTAAAGAATTTCTCCCTCATCTAAACTTAACTCACTTTGATTTTGAAGCCATTCTGTACCCACTTTGAGATTGAAGCCATTCCCCTTTGTCCTGTTACTACAGGCCCCTGTAGAAATTCCCTCTCTGGCTCTTTTCTGGGGTCCCTCTAGATACTGGAAAGATGCTTTAAGGTCTCCCGTGAGCCTTGACCAGGATGAACAACCCCAACTCTCTCAGCCTGTCTTTAGAAGAGAGGTGCTCCAGCCATCTCATCATCTTCATGGCCCTGCTCTGGACTCGATGTGACAGGTCTACATCCTTCCTTTGTCGGGCACCTCAGAACTGGATGCAGTGCTCCAAGTGGGGTTTCACAACCTCCCTTGACCTGCTTGTCGCACTACTAAATAACCAAAAAATAGCAAATAATCACCCCCATCTAACAAGCATCTAGAGGTGAGGCATTTCTGTTAGAGTACATACACTGATTCCAGTTTTTGCAGCCTAAGATTTTTGTCTGGGCAAGTTACTAGGGAATGCCACTCAATTACATCTGTCTGGAAAAGAAAGACCAACTCCATGTTGCTGTCCATTACATAGAGAATTCCAGTCCTGGCAGTCGTAGTGAGGTAACTTTAGCAGTCACACTAAATGGATGAGATAGAGCGCCAGCAGCATCTAAAGCAGTAACCACAGGGAGCAAATGCCCTCCAACTCCTTCCAGAACATTACAGACAGAAACTTGGGGACTTTACTCAAACTTTATCTATCCTGCTAAGTTTTGAAATTTTTGGGTCTTAAAAAAAAAGGGGGGCTTTTTCTTTTCTTTTGAATTTTTTGGGTCTTAAAAAAAAAAGAAAAAAAAAAGGGGCTTTTTCTTTTTTAATAGAAAAATCCAGAAAACTTAGAAACAATGTTTCTTTATTACTTTAGAATGGGTGATTCTGTTTAAATGATTTTTTTAATAGAAAATTCTTTCAAGCTCTACTAAGTTTCTATATTGAGCCAGTTCCAGTTTCTGTGTAAATGGCAACATTTCAGTGTTTTTCAGTCTCCACTGTTCTCAAGACCTTCGGACAAGAGCTGAAAGCCTTTAGCACGTTGCCTCATTTTCTGCGTCGTTCTCTGGTGCTGGGAAGCGTGTCCCTGTGCCGCTGGCCGGATGATGGCTCGCTCCAGGGCCTGACCTGTCCGGTGCCGCGGGTCCCCGCTGAAGCCGCCGCCGCACCCACCTGCCGCTCGGGTGATGCTCCCCCCTCCTCTGACTCCAACCCCACGTGTGCCAGGGGGGCGGCTACGCACCAGCTTCGCTTCTTCGCGCAGACACGAGCGACTCCAGCGCCGCATTTGCCACCGTGGTGGTGCCGCCCTGACGGCCGCAGCGCCGGGGCGCCCTGCGGGGAGGGCGAACACAGGGAGGGGGCGGGACGCGCGGCAGGGCAGCGACCCCGCCGTGTCACGGGTCCCCGTGACAGAACAGGTGTGGGTCCCGGTCCCGGCTCTCGGCTCTGCTCCTGCAGAGCTCCCGGGCGCGGAGCGCTGACCGCCCTCGGCGGGGGAAGGAAGGACCGTGCGAGCGCCGCGCTCCCGGCACCGCCCTCGCCGTGCCCGCCCCGCCGGGGCCGGCCCGCGGCACAGGAGGGAGGGAAGGAGGGAGGGAGCGAGCGGCAGCGGAGCCGGCGAGCCCCGGCGGGCGGTGCGGGAGCATGGCCCCGGCGGGGCGGCTGTGCTGTGCCGCGCTGCTCTGCGGCGCCCTCAGCCTCTGCAGCCTGCGGGCCGCGCCGCGCCAGCCCGACACCCTCTACCTGTGGATCGACGCCCAGCAGGCGCGGGTGCTCATCGGTAAGTGAGCGGCGGCCGGCAGCCCGGAGCCGAGCCCGGCCCGGCCCGACCCACTGCGCCCCTTTGCCTTCCGCAGGCTTCGAGGAGGATATTCTGATCGTGTCCGAGGGGAAGATGGCCCCGTTCACCCACGACTTTAGGAAAGCCCAGCAGAGGATGCCCGCCATCCCCGTCGGCATCCACGCCATGAACTTCACTTGGCAGGCAACGGGACGGGTAGGTGCCGAGATGGGGCCGCGGCAAGGGGCGGGGGAGGCTCTGCAAACCCAGGCAGGTGCTTCGGCCTTGGAATAGTAGAGGAAACCCTCTCCGAGGCGTGCTGGGGCAGCCCCGGGTGCGGGAGCCCGAGGCGCGGCGGGGCTCGGGGGCAGGGATCGCCGCCGGCGCGGCGGGACGGCCGGGAAGGCGCGCTGGGAAGGAGCGGGAGTAAGGTGCGTGGGAGCGCCGGCGGCTCGGGAGCCGGAGACGCCGCAGGCTGGTGAGGCGTGAGCCTGAACTCACCAGGAACACCCCAGTCGCCTGTATTGCTGTAAAATTTTGTACCGGACGGTACTTCCGCGGATGCAGTTTTCTTTCGACTTTCTTTAGCTTATGGACATACGCGACAGGCTCTTCACTGATCTCTATGTACTAAATGTGCAGGCTTAATTTGTAGTTCTACTGAATAACAATTCTCTTCTGTAGACTTAATTTTACCAAGTTAAATTGCAAAACCACATAAATCTGCAGTTTATTGAATCCTGTTGGATTCTTTTGTTGAAAATGTAAGAATCTGTAACATATTTTGTGAAGAAACATATGTATGATTTGACACACTGACAACATATGTTGAATTTGCATAAAGCTGAAACTTGTTAGTGTACATTATCGTGGATACAGAAAAGACATGGTGGCATAAAATCCCGGATAAAATTATTTCATTTTTACAGTGCTGAATATTGACTTCATACAACAAAGAACTTGGTAGAGATGAAACAATATTTCCATTTAAATTGTGAACATTGATTGTATAATTCAGCTAATTGCAGCCTCGCAAATTTTGTTGTGGTTTTGGTTGTTTTAAAACCAAACCAAACTCTATCTACAGCACTTGTTTGGCTTCAAGGTGTTGTCTGATACCCTTGCAATTTTTGCTGTCCTTGCAAAGCCTTTGGGTTTAGGAAGTGCTTCACCACCTCCTCCAGAGAAGAAGGTGAATGTGGAGAGACAAAACTTACTCACAAAGGCTGACTTGCTCTAGGTTTTTGGCGTTCCCATCAAGCTTTACAGAGAAAACAACTCTGTGTGCCAAGAGCTGGCATTTAAGTACCTAGAAATAATTACTATCTTTTGGGACTGTATTTTCTGTTCCATTTCTCTGCCAGCTTCAGTTGCTGTTGATGATAAAACTAGCTCTTTTTTGAATGGGTGACCGAGATGTTAGACTGAGCACTGTCCTCTTGGATTTCCTTCTTGAGCTCTGCTCTCCCTCCTTTTCTGCCTACAGGTAGGTCATTAGGAAAAGGTGGTTCCAGTAGTGATTTCAGTGAGAAGAGTCACAGGCTTAAAGACAGTATAGGAAAATGTTCTGCTTGATGCCACTTGCAGGACAAAATCCTTTCTGAGCAGCTGCAAAGGTGTTTAACCCATTAGTCCTCCTCCTATTTTCTGAATTACCAAATTGCTCTTAGACAAAGCATAATTAGTAAGTGAAATATCTAAATGGTTAAAAACGTTCTGTGTTTCTCCAGAATTTCCAATATTGTATGAGGGGAAGAAATTAGTATATTTTTACTTTTTTCCAGTGTTCTGTTTTGGTTTTAAGTATACATGTTCTTAGAAGTTTCCATAAACACATCCAGGGAAGTGCTAACAACTTGCAACCTTTATTCTGTTCTTTTCTGGGAATTTCCTAAGTGAGGGAAGGGAAAATGAGAAGTGGAAGGGAGGAGGAAAGGAAAAGAAAAGAAGAGAAAGGAAGAAGGAAAGGAAATGGAAACTAGTACTTTTTAAAAGAAGAAAGGCATTTGAAATGCTGAAGTGCTAGATTGCTTTCCACAAAATAGCTGTTAACTAGCATACTGTTGCCTCCTGTTTAGTAAAACTGAAATAATTCTGTGAGTTTTGTGCCTTATAGACCTCTTGACCCTGTATCCCAGTTGAAATTTGAAGAGGTTTCTCTGGGACTCAAAGGTTTGGGGGCTGTCAGTAGTATATTCCCCACCTCTAGGAATAGCTAGAGCCTTTTTGGGTCTACAGACATGAGGCTTCTCCTGAGCAGGAGCAGGAGATCCTGTCTATGGCATCACATAGTTCCTAGTCCTGATATCAACAAGATGGGGGAGTGAGAGAGCAGCTGGCTGGGTGTCTGGCAGCCAGACAAGGTCAACCCACCACACCTGGGATCCCCAAATGGGCACCTTAGCAGGTATAAATATCCAGTGGGTAGATCCAGCTACCTGCTCCTGGGATGAATGACGATCCAGGTTTGAGGTAATAATTCAACCCAAGGAGTGGCAGTGCTTCTCAGTCCTGCATGGCTGAATATTCTAACTCAAAAATGTCTTGTTGAGGGGCACATTTTAATGATTAGATTGCATTTGTGCTCTGTGTAAACAGAAGTGCTTGAAACTCATTACATTTAAGTGTTACACTTCTGATGCAGTGGCCTTTGTGTCCTGAATATGTTTTATGTGGAAAAGATTTTGTTTGATAAGCAAACAAAATAATTTTCGCTAGAAAGCATTAACCAAAGAGAAGCATTAGTTGCTTTTAATTTCTAATCCATTACTTCTAATTCATTATTAGGAAATATGAGGGGAAACCCAAAATGTCAGGGTCTGAGGGTGCTGAATAGATAAGTTTTTTGCTAGTGAAATCAGGATGAGCCAGGGGTGACAAGAATGTTAAAGTATTGCAAAACAGGATTGTCATGTTTTTATGCACTTTATGCTTCTACTTATAAATTGGAAAATAAGATTACATTTGCTGTGTTTTCTTTAGAAATGTAATCTGCATAAATTGACAGTTAAAAATTTCTTTGAATTGAAAGGTTTAAAAAAGCAAAAATCAGTGATAATATGTAGTATATAGTATGCATCCATGTAACCACTAGAGCTCACTGGTGTGCTTCTTATTCTGGGTGGTTTTTGCAAAAGAAAATACAATGGCTTTTAGGGGTCTTGTCCTCTGTGGAAGATTCAGCTAAAAACTTCCCATTGCGACCCTATCACAGTGATTAATGCTGCAACATGTTTTACTGTGTCCACTAGTGGAAGTTAACAAAGATTTCAGTGATAACATAATCTCTACAGCATTTAGAAATTTATGATAAGTATTTAATCTCCAAATTAAAAACAAAACCCAAAATGTATTTTTAATTTTCAGTGGGAATTCTGACAGCTGTAAAATTAGGTTCGCACCCTGGAGAATATTGGTGGAGGAGAACCATATTAAAAAGTTGATTATTTCCCAGACAGCAAGTGCTCAGTGACAGAGCAGCAGCCCAGTTGATTTAATAGACAGGAGGTGAAAAAAAGAAACCAAAAAGCAAGTTGGAATTTTTTCTTGTGTAGCATTCTCTGGTCTGATCCAGAGAAAGAGTCAATCTGGGCCACAACCTGCCCAGGCTGTTTTCTTCCTTTCAGATATGGGAGAAGTATTTGTGGTCAGATGAATTATTGTAGCAGCTCACTTCCCCCTCCCCACTGTTATGAGTACCATAGCTCCTCTCCTGGTGCATGGTTGAATGCATGACATGACATCTGAAATAAGTCTCAAAGAGTTATTGATAACCTTGAATCAATCAAAAAGATGCCCACCTCTGAGAAAGAGGGAATATATGTCTTCAGTGCATTTTCTAGCATCATTTCTATATTGTAAAGTGAAGGTCAGGAATGCTGTGTAGTTAACAGCTCCTGGAGGCTAGTTCTGATCTCAGCCAAGTGACCATCAGCCCTGAATAGCTCAGATGACTTGTCTGAAATTGTCTTATATTGCTGAGATGTAGCCTGACCATGAAGATAAAATGGAATATCCAGCTATGCCAGGAAAAAATTTGTTTCCTTGCTCAGAGGAAAGCTGGCAGACCACCAATTTTAAAGCCTTAGGTGGTGCAATAAGGTGCTTCAGTCAAACATGGCTATTTCCCTGATAAACTGAAAGAAAACATAAAGTATTGAATTTTAAAACCTAATTCTTCAAAGGAAACTTTTCTTCAAAGAAACTGAATTTTTTCTAAATATCATATTTGTAACCAGTCATTATAGTGATGTTTTTCAGCCTAAAATAATGCATCTAATATGCAAAAATTAGGAGATTTTTTTTCCAGTCAAACAAGGCTCTTCTTGAAGTTTGGTCAAGGTAATTGCGTAAACTCACACTCTTGTGATTTTCAGTGGTACCTTCTCTGCACTTTCACGTCACCAAACTGGGGAAATTCTTTGTTTTCTGACTTCTGTACCAAAATTTTGATGTGGAATGTGAAGATGTTTACATACTGTGAGCATGATTTTTAGACAGGGGGTTCTCAAATCAAAAGCACAGCTCAAAACCTTTAATATTTAGATTCTACTCAGCTGTGGTATTTTGCGTCTCAGTGTTGTAGACATGCCACCAGGGATCAAAGTAATACTCTAGAGATCCCACTTTCTTACCAGAGCAGGCATGTGCCAGCCATCTGTTCTATCTGCTGATAGAAAACAGCAGTAAAGCTTCTCAAAGTTTTGCCAAGAAGAAAAGGGGGGATTTATTGCTCAGCAGAGATGAGTTACAAGGCACCTTGTAGTGTAAGCTGCATCTGGATTCCATAGTCATTTACATGGCATGTGTGTAAACTACACAATTATTCTTTTTACACAGCAGTATAAACCTGTGTTAAGTAAACAGTTCTTAAGATTTTCATTGTTTATCCTTTCTATAAATAATCAATTTTTAACAAAAAAAAAGCTAGTCATAAAGTATTTTCACTACTTTTACGGCAGTAGCTGCAATGTACAACATAACTGTTGAAAGGCATTGGAATTAACAAGGGCACCCCAAGCTTCAAGACTGCATTTTGTGAAATTGTACAGATCTCACTCCCTGTGTTACTAACAATTTTTCTGAAATAGAAAACCCAGGCTTTCCTCTTGTGTTGCCTTCCTCTGTTTCACTTTCCTATTTGTGGAAGTGAAAATGTTTTCTGGCAACATCACCTATTTTTACAGACAGTTTCACAGGTATGTTCTTAGTGGTCT